AAACATACTATATATATTTAATTTTTTATCAATAAAAAAATATCCAAGAAATTAGATTATATATTTTGCATATCAAATGATAATTTTAATCTAGTGAAAAATTTTGTAAACATTTTATTAAAATTTATACAAATACTTTAAAATAATAACATTACATTAAAAGATTGGTAATAGATTCAAACAATCTTTCTAAAATATATTTTAAATTAAAATGAGAATAAAATAATTTTGACCTTATTGAGAAATTATGTATTCCAAATTGAATTTAAAATAATTGTGTGGTTTAATTTGTATAGTTGTATAATATGTGAGTAGTATTGAAAAGTTATGTAAAAACTTTTGAGTTGGAGAATGAATTTTTCAGTTGAAGATGAATTACTACAAAATGAAATACTTACTGCAAAATGAGTTTGAGTATAGAATATTCAGTTGGAGATGACCTAATACACAAACACAAACCAATAGTAGAATTTGCCACCACTGAAAAATTTACTAGTTTCATACGATTATCCACTGCAAAATGAATTTGAGTATAGAATATTCGGTGAGAGATGACCTAAGACACAAACCAGAATTTGCCAGAAAATTATATTAGTTTCATGCGATTATCTACCAGCTTTTTCACAAGTTACTGTTAAATGTGGTTTATATTGTTAATGGAGTTGATAAATTGCTATGACTGATGACAACTCAATCAAATCAAATCAAAGCAAAGCAAAAATTGACACCTCAAGTCTTAACATCTTTCACAAAATAAAATTAACACAAAGGAAAATTGGAGTTTTTAACCAGAAAATAAAAAAAGGAACATTTGCGACATCGAAATACAAGAAAATATAACACCTAGGTGTTAGTGGCTCTGGTGTAGATCTGCTGGCTCGAATGAGCCGACACCATTCTGATTAAACCTCTGGCCATCAATTCCCTAATTGCTTTCCTAGCTAGAGATCCACTGATCTGCAAATCATATATTACAAGATCAAATATTAGTAAAAACAGAAAAGAAAAAAAAAATCACTTTCAAAATCATAGGACAGATACACATTCAAATGAAATAGGGCATATGGAGTCTGTGATCAATGGGCTACTAACAATCATCAAGAATGTAGGAAACGATAAAATCACTTTCAGAATAATATCACAAAAGCAATCTGATTAAGATTAGTTATAAATCCGCACGACTGGATTGCGAATACCTATTAGCTACTAATGAAACATTTCAGATGCCAATCAGCTACTTCTACTAGCAGATACCGACTACTAATAAAGTATGAAGATAAGTTTTTGTAAATAAAACAAGTGAGTGAAAAAAATCAGCACATAGGTAAGTGATTGGATATGCAAATGTTTCATTTTGTCTCAGTCAAGATTTATCTCATTGAGATGTACATTGATTCATTCAATAAAAAATTCAACTTCATCACATTCACTTTTTTTTCTCTTGATTTTATCTATCACAATTTTGAAATAAAAACCAAACTTTATTATATATTTCCAACCTACGATTTGCTATCAATCAATATTGTACTATTTATATATCATACCAACTTTAATAACTATACTTTTATTCCATATTCATTCAAAAATCTCAAATCTATCTCATTTACAAAAAATAAAAACAATAATTTCCAAGGAAATAAATAGCTCGCTAAAGTTGCCGCTATTTAAGAAATAACTTTTTTTGGCAGCATGCCGCTATTTGTATTCATGTTCAATTTAGCCGCTAAATCCCGCTAAATCTCCGCTATCCGCTATAGCTCCGCTATAGCTACAGTGCCGTAAACATTTTAGCCCACTATTTAAAACCTTGATAATTTCCTATTTTCCATCTCATTTTTCCGACAAGACAATTTTTTACTAGCTCAATCAACCCAGTTCCTATGGTTACAAGGCAGGAACACATTGAAAACATTACTCAGCAATCAAATCTTCAAATCAAGAAAATGAAGCATTTGCATAGATCTCAACTTTTTGTTCACAAAGGTTCAAACAGATTATACTGCATTACAGATCGATAATCAATATTCAGCCACTTTCTACACTAACCATCATCATCGTCACAATCTCATACTACCAAATCACGAAACATAAACAAAATAATAAAAAAACCATAAAAATAACCATCAATAAACAACAAATAACAAAATAAATTTACCCGAAGACGATCGGAGAGCACGGAGGGAGTGATGAGCTTGTACTTGGGCGCCTCAGACAGCAACTTGTCGTAGGTCGCCTTGTCAAACAGCACCATGTTGTTCACCTTCTCCTTTTGCTTTCCCTTGCTCCACTTCTGCAAAATTATTACGATTCCGCCACAGAATTTTCACAAAATTAGATTCTTAACCCCCCAAAAAGCGCACGACTGAAATAAAAACAAACACAGAGAACAAAAAATAACGGCCACGACCTTCTTCTTCTGTTTTCCGCCTCCCGATTTCGCCGGCTTGGATGACGGCGGCGGAGCCTTGTCCTTCTTCGGTGCCTGTGTAAAGAAAAAACAATTAGCAAAAATGAAAACAACAGATGTATCGGAAGGTCGAGATACAGTGAGTGTGTGTGAATATTGATAAAACATAACGGCGGCGCACCATCGGAAATCGCAAATCGAGTGGAGGGCAGGCGGCGAGGAATCGGAGACTGTGAGAAGGATAGAGAGGAGATCGGCCACTATATCTGAACGTAGCTAGGGTTTTTATTTGGTTTTCATTTTAAGCGACGTCGTATAGGTGAAACGTTGTGTGTGTTGTATTGGGTTGGGCTAACGGAGTACAGGTATGAGTTATTCTGGGTAATTATGAATTGGGCTAGGCTGAGTAAAAGCCCAATCACTCAAATCACTGATAAAACAACACACAAACGCAGCTAAATGTGAAATTTTAAATATATTTTTTTAAAGAAAAATATATAGCTTCAGTCTAATAAATGTTTAAAAAAAATCACTTTCTCTTGTTTTATCTTCAAAGTAAATTCGATATGAAAAGACATAGGATAACATCAACTATATAGTGATGAAATAATATACAATAACATCAAACTTTTGAGGTAAAACTTACATATAATTGTTTATTTTTATCATTAGTGTGTATATTTATAAGACAAAAATGGTAAATATATAATTTTAGTTTTTTTAAAAATCAAATACTTAGATTCAACAGTTCACTTGATAACCCGTTAGTTTAATAGGTAATCTGACAATTCTAAGGCCAACCCATATCGATTGGCCTATTGGTTTCGAAACATTGCTCACCTGTATGTGACTAGGACTGTTATCAAATATGTTTGTGTTCGAGCTCGCGTTCGACTGATTTTCGAACATGTTCGTGTTCGTAGTCGAACTTGTTCGTGAACTATTCGGATTGTTAGACAAATTTATGTTTGTCTTTGTTGACTTCTTTTTATATATCATATTTATTTAATATTTAATGCTTATCCATATTTATAAATTATATTATATAAAATTATAATTATTTTTTTTTTTAATTTGCAAAACTTGTTCGTGCTTGTTCAACAATTGAACGAGCATAATTTCATGTTCGAGTTTGATACGATTACTAGACGAATGGGCTATTATCAAACACGAACAAGATTTCTTCGCAAATAGTTCAGTTCGATAACATCTATATGTGACAAATTGACAATGAGTATGACTATTAGAAAATGTTAAAAAGAAAGTGAAATGGATAACAAG